TTATCCTAATTCGCAACACATTTTGTAACCTATATATTTTGGCGCGAAAAAATTTATCCAATTATTCTTTTTGGTAAATGAACGGATAGATTGATTAATTTTTCATGCTAAAATCTGTCGGTTACAAAATTTGCTGCAAATTAGTGTTAATTTAAAATAATTATCAATTTTTTGACATGGCTCCAAGATTATTTTTTTCTGATTTTCATTTTTTTAAATACTAAACTAAAAAATTTACTTCCACATATATAATATAGATGGGTATAAATCAAATGTTTATGTCTCACGCAAACTTCAGGGGCATTACAGATGGAAATCTTTATGTGAGTAAAATGAAGCAAAAAATTGTCATTGATGTCAACGAGAATGGTGTTGAAGATGCTGCAACTACAAGTAAATCTTTTTCCCCCACCTTGCAAAGGTTCCCCGGAAAGTGCCCCTTGGAGGTTCTATCAGAATTCCGCCGGAACTTCCAACGTAATTCCGTCAGAATTCCAAAGAATTTCCGATGAGATTCCGATGGAGTTCCGACGGAATTAGGACTCCAAAAATTTTGAAAATAAAATTAATCGGAATTCCGTCGGAAATTTTTTGGAACTCCGATGGAATTCCGACGGAATTCTGATAGAACCTCCAGGGGGCATTTTCCGGGGAATCTTTCCAAGTGGGTTTTTTTAATTTAATGTAATATTTACAATTCTTAATTATACATTAAAAGTGAAAGAAAAATTAATTTTTTGTGGTATTTTTTTTACAGGTGGATTTTTTACCAACGGAATGATGGGAGAGCATATAACTTAACAATTTCATGCTAATCATGCATTTCATTATAAGATTATTAGAACAGTTGGTGAACATGATGGTATTGCATTGTTTGCTGGTAATTGTAAATATATACAGTAATTTAGAGAATATACGAATATTAAATATGTCTGCAAGGCCAAAAAACGAACACATTAAATGTATAAAATTATAAATTTAAGTTTGTACAAACAATATTACTATTTAACATTTTAATAAAATAAAAATGGAATTACAATTTATTAACAAAAAACTTCATAAATTGTGATATTAATATAAAATTTATATATTTCTTTAAAAACATTTACATTTAATTAAATGTATTATTTTGTGTAGAATTAAAATATTGTGACTAAATAAAAAAAAATAATATATTTAGTATACATAAATTGATAATATAAAAAAATATTTTTGTCTTTATTTATTCATGAATGTTCGTTGATTCTCTTTAAAACTCGAGAGCATGCGTAGGTACTCTTAGGCATGACCTGCCTATAAGAATACGCAAATGACTATTCTTCAAAAAATATTTAATTTACAAAACTAGGCGCAATTGCGCCTAAATCTAGGGTTTCGTGGCGCTTTAAATTTTAATTAAAAAAAAAAAAAATCAAAAATAAATAATTTAAAAATAAATAATAAAATTTATTTTATAAATTTTATGTACTATTAAATTTTATTTATTTAGCAAAATTTTTATTATAAATTAATTATAAATTATAAAATATTAATTTCTATAAATTAATTCTCCCCCAGACAGTAAATTCGAAGAAAATCAAAAATTGGCAAAATCAAAATTCAAAAAGGTAAATGCGAAAGAAAAAAGAATGAGTGGCTGTGGAGTGGAGGTCTTTCTTCTATAATTTATCTTTTTTGATTCACCCAGGTGAAAATGATCCTCACGAATGACGTGTGGAATTCGTCCGGAATTCGTCCAAATTTCCTTAAGAATTCGTTCAGATTTCCTGTCGAATTCTGGAAAACGCAGTGTGGCGATTTGAAACAGAATTCGTCCATAATTTAATCGGAATTCGTGCGACTTTGATAAGAAAAACGAATACAAAAAAATTTTCTCTTAAATTTCCGTCCGAATTTCGTACGGTATTCGTGCGAATTGCTAACGAATATTTTAAGAACAGTTTGTGCGGATTCCTATAAGAAATTGATAGAAATTCCGAACGGAAATTTTGATGAAAAAATTTTTTAAAAAAATATTCGCCCTTTTTTCCGACCGAATAGTGCGCGGTATTCGTACGAATTACTAACAAATTCTTTAAATAATCTTCGTGTGGATTTCTATAAGAAATTGATAGGAAATCCGCAAGGAATTCTGGCTGAAAATTTTTTACATTCTCATCACATGAGAAGGTATTATAATTGGTCGAAAATTGACTTTTACTATTTCCATGAAATCTTTACGTTTTGAGGTGCCCTGAGTCGAAAAATCATGGTCCGGCGAAAGTGTCTGTCCGTGTGTATGTATATGTATGTACGTATGTAGACACAAAATGTTGTTGACAAAATAATTTTTATAAATCGAAACAAATAGATTTGCAATTTTGCACACACAACAGTCACAAAGTCGCAAATAAATACACTTGCATGTACCTGTACAGGTTCATTTACTTTGTTCCAATTCTTTTTACAGGTTCGTTTTCTGCTCTTGTACAAGATCACGCGAATGTGCAAGTACTTGAACTTGAACAAAAAAATGTACATGATATTGTACAAGATTTTTCAACTGGGAATAGTATATATAACCCTTACTTTTATGTATAACAAGCTTGAAGTAAATAAAATAAATTGTTTAATTAAAAAAACTATTTGAAAAAAATAATGGAGATGAGATACTAACCCCTTAAATGTATTCGTTTGCTCAAATGTTTCATATATTTAAATAATAAAAAATCCAAATACTCAAAAACACTTCTAATTCCGCATCATACATTCGAGCGTGAAACGCGAGTGCCATGATGAGAATGTTCTCCTTAAAGTCGAAGAACTTTAAGAAAATTAATCCTAAATAATAATAATAAAATTATTGTATATAATTTTTATATTAAAATATTATAATATAATATTAAATGTAGAGTCAGCATAACATTTGGAGCGCGTAGCGCGACGGAGTGCTCTTCGCGCCCCAAGGCACGTTCAAATCCGCGAGCGCAGCGAGGCCTCCCGCGCGAGGCGCGGATGAAAATGTGTCCGCTACCCCGAAGGGGGAGCGGCAGATTTTTTTTTAAATATTCGCCCACTTTTCCGACCGATTAGTTCGCGCTATTCGTACGAATTACTAACAAATTCTTTAAATAAACTTCGTGTGGATTCCTATAAGAAATTGATAAGAAATCAGCAAGGAATTTTGGCTGAAAATTTTTTTTTTTTAAATATTCGCCCACTTTTCCGACCGAATAGTGCGCGGTATTCGTACGAATTCCTATCAATTTCTTATAGCAATCCACACGAAGTTTATATAAAGAATTCCTTAGTAATTCGCACGAATACCATACGAATTTCGGTCGAAAATTTGGTCAAAATTTTTTTTGTATTCATTTTTCTGAAAAAAGTCGCACGAATTCCTATTAAATTATGGACGAATTCTGTTTCAAATCGCCACACAGCGTTTTCCAGAATTCGACAGGAAATCTGGACGAAATCTAAACGAATTCTTTCGGAAATCTGGACGAATTCCGAACGAATTCCAAACGAATTCCTTACGAATCATTTGCACCTGGGCAGAGTTTCGTTACCTCAATATCACTTTTCTTATTTTTTTTAAAATTAAACAAGATTCATTTATAAAATTTGATATTGTTGCATATTTAGGGCCGGTTTCACCAACTATGGTTAATTGCTAAGAATCAATATTTGTATTTTATTATCTATAATGTGTTATTATTGGATATTCTAATACTAAAGAAGCTGTAAGTCTTGTTTATGTGTTAAATATTTTGTAAAATGTTCATCTGTCGAGAACTATTGACAAAATAAGAAAAATATCTAAAGAAAATAAAAATTATATCATTTTATTGGAATTTCAAGTGAGAGCTCCCAATACCCCACAGGTGGGGTAATGGTAGAAAATGCATTTTTTTTACAAACTCACTTTCTTGTTCTTAATTTCTAATTAATTATAATTAAAGATAAATAACAAAAGGAGTAAAAAATGAACAAAACAATATTTTATATTAAATATATAATATTAATATAACTATAGTTATAATATTAATAACTATAGTTATTCAAATTATTTAATGTCAGAATTTTTATTGATCGAATCTCCATTTGTTCGAATTTTTATTTAAACGAATTGTTATTTGATAGAATTCTTAAAACAGCTAATTTTCATTTGACAGAAATTGCAAATAGACGAACAAACAAACGTCAGAAACATTTCGGCGCAATTTTTAAAATAGACCAATCAAAAATTATAAAGAAAATTTTTATTGGTTTATTTTAAAATTAGCGCCGATAAATTTCTGACGTTTATTTCTGTCGAATGAAAATTCGCTGTTTTAGCTGAATTTTATCAAATAAAAATTCTGACACATGAAGATTCGATAGTTTAAAAATTCTGTTAAATGAAAATTTTGTTAAATTAAAATTGGTTTAAATTATAATTTTTTAAAATAAAAAGTTGGATAACAAAAATTTGTTAAAATAAAAATTATATTAAATAAAAATTTGTTATAGCTGAAAATTATGTTAAATAAAATTTCGTTTCCAAAAAAAGTTACTCAAATGCTAATTCGAAAAAAAAATTCTAGCTATAATGATTTTTATGGGATATTCATTGGTCCCAAAATAAGATATTTGGAAGATTTAATTGTTCAGGATTATTTAGATATCTAAAAAATTTTATAAATAGTTGAAAATATTTTTAAAAATTTATTAAAAATTTAATATTTTTTTTTTAATTTTTATGAAAATTTTGAGATAATTGAAATCTTTACAACCAGAAAAAAGATTTCTTTGATTCAAAAAATCAATTTCTTTAACAAATTTTTCTTTGATACAAAGAAAAAGGATATTATTACCATTTAAATAGAGTATCAGACAATTAAGCCTGGCCAAACAAATTATCGTATCGCAGTTAATTATCTTAAATTTAAAGATTGTGTTTTCAGGTTTTAACCGAATGTTAAAATTAAAATAAAATATTAAAATACAAGCGAATAATAAGTTATTTTTATAGTTACCTTCTGCCTTATTCTTCTTTTTAGACTTCTTTAGTTTGACTTCGTCTTTAATATAAATTTCGACCATTTATATACTGCTGACAGCAGGTAGATAACACGGTAAAATAATAAAAAAAAAACCCTATCAAGTTGAAAAATAAATTTTTTATGTTCATTTCATGTACACTTTGCTTTTCCATGGAGATATGGAGTCTATAGAATAGATACAGTATATTAAAAATTTAGATTAAAATTTAATAATTAAGCTGCATCAAAAATCACGTTTTTGGATATTTTTATTTAGACAAATAAAATTCTGCTAATCACAAGTACATAATATTGCAATATTTTCTTTTGTTGCATCATTTAAAATTAAATTTTTATCATCATTTATCAACGTACAAACATTGAAATGTCACGTTTTTAGAAATGTTTTCTCGACAATTAAAAAACTGCTGACCACGAGTACATAATTAAAAATTATCAAATTTACATTTACTAGAATTTAAAAAAAGTAGATTTTAAAATAAGTCCAATTTTAATATCGAAAATTTCTTTTTGACAAAATTTATATCTAGAAAAAATTTCATGAAAAAGAATTTTTATTTATCAGAAATTGTTCTTTTGTCGAATTTCTATGTATCCGAATATTCAATAAAAGTATTTTTATTAACAGAATTTTCAAATTAAAAGAATTTCTATATAACAAAAAATTTTATTTTACAAAAGTTTTATTCAAAAAATTTCTATTATAATCTAATTTTTATTTAATAGAATTGTTAAAAATACATGAATTTGAAATTGAATACTAGAAATATAAAAAAACCAACAATATTAAGAAAAATAAAATATTTTTTAAAATTTAAAATGCATGCGATTAGGATATTTTATTTTTCAATTCGCGTGCGTTATACATAAAAAAATATTTAAAAATTTTATAAGCTTCTTAGATTTCTTATTTATTGCGTTCTTTTCAAATAGACATATATTTTTCAAAACAAATAAATTTTAAAGTAGTAAAAATTTTTTTTTTCATAAATCTATTATAAACTCATTTTTAACTTTAAATTACTAAAAAAGTTTTTTAATAATAATTATTATTTAATTATATAATAATAGTTTGTGTTTTTTTGGTAAAATTTAGTAAATGTAATGATATTTTTATTCTTGCAATTTATTTATATATTTATTTATTGAAATAAATCCTGCAGTCTCAAAGACCAAACACAGATTTATCATTGTACAAAATTTGTAAATTATGTAATGGCGATTGAAATTTGGCATGTACATATGCACATAAACCTACAATATCGGATCCTCTCTATAATAATTTATCATACACGTAAAAAAATCTCTCAAGGATTGTTCAAAGATGTCCAAATTATATACAGAATTATCATAAATCCCATTTTACACATCACAGATTCTTAATATTGGTGTATTTTTATCTGCGCGAGCAGTATAAAAAGGTCTTGAGTCACGAGAATGATACTGAGGGACACAAAAAGGTATTTCCGATAGCAAATACGGACTAGAAATGAAACCTCTAATAACTTTAAAAAGAAACAGTATTGCATCAATATTTCTTCTATTCTCTAGAGAAAGTTCATTAAATCTACTACATAGTTGTGCATAATCAGAACCCTGGGGTAATAAAACACCATATTTTTTATAGTATATAAATTTTAGGAATTTTTTTTGACATTTATCAATAGCATCAGATAGATAACCAATATTATTTCTCCAAACAGAAGAGCAGTAATTAAATTTGGATCTAACCAAAGAGTAAAATAGAGATTTAATAGCAGTTATGTTTTTAAATTTACTACATGATCTGAATGAATATAAATATGAACTCCTGCAGGCAGGCAGGCGGCCGAGAGGTGAGAGTGCGGCCTTAGCCTCACGAACTATTGGCCATTCAAACAGCTACACTAGCGCCACAGTTGAACTAACGTAAGCGTGATTCGCTCTGTAGCACTCCATGTGTTTTAAATTATTTTTTTTTATTTAACGCTTCAAAATTATTTTACAAACGCATTAAAAATATCAGAATAATTAAATAATTTGAAATAAACTGTGGCGCTAGTGTAACTGTTTGAATCGCCAATAGTGTCAATATGTGTATTAAATTTAAGTGAAGGTGTGAAATGTACTCCCAAATCTTTTATCATATAAACTTTTTCTAATTGTATTCCATCAAATATCCAAGAAATTGTTTTTGCATCAATTGTTAAACTTATTAATATCGCTTTGGAGGTTTTCGCAATCCTCGATGCAGTTTATTGCTTTTAATAATTTGGTATCATCGGCATACAATAAAAAGTCATTACAAAAAATAGATTCGAATTCATTCATATATATCACGAAAAGTAGAGGTCCACGATTTGAACCTTGAGGAACCCCAGAAGTAGGAACAAAAGAATATGAAGAAAAACCATTATAAGAAACAGTCATACGTCTATTATTCAAATAAGAAAATAATAATTTTAATAATTTATCTGAGAAGAGATTTATCTCTTCAGAAAAAATAAGAAAATAATTAATATTCTTTATTAAAAATTGTTATTAATGTTTACTTATAATAATAAAGAATAATTACTGTCGTTAATCATTTATTATATAATTAATAATTATTATCAAAAAACTTTTTTATTAATTAAAAGTTAAAAATTTGTTTATAACAGATTTACGAAAAAAAGTTTTACTACTTTAAAATTTATTTATTTTGAAAAATATGTTTATTTGAAAAGAATAATAAATAAAAAATCTAAGAAACTAATAAAATTTAAAAGAAAATTAAAAAAAAATTTTTTATTAATAATGCATGCGAATTGAATAATAAAAGCAAGTTATATCTTAATCGCATTCATTTTTCATAAAAAACATTATTTTATTTTTTTGTTATTGTTAGTTTTATATGCCATGTACTTATATGTTTTTAGCTCTAAATTTCAAATTTTCGTATTTTTAAAAACAAAGTTTTAAAGTAGTAAAATTTCTAATTTTTTTATATATTAATATTTTTCAAATTAATAAATAAATATTAATTATTGACAAAAAGTATTTAAGTAACCCGTAAAAATCACACCTTTAAATATTAAAGGAAATTTTGTTTATGAAATATCTTTTTATTGACTTACATTTCTTATCTTTAAATTAATGTACATAATAAATTCTCTATCTGAAAAAATATATACACTGCGACCTGAGTTTAGCGGCAGGTTTGGTGGGTCGTTCGCTAAACTCAGTAATGAGATTTCCCGAAATCGACGTCAGCAATCAGGGCCGTACGAACTACTTGAAATACGCAATCCTTAAACTCTTTTCTTGAAAATTCTTCATCTTATAGTACATAATATTTTTATTGCAATAATTATTACAATTATATTTTAATTTTTAGATTTTATTATAATTATAAACAGTAATAAGTAATACTTAAAATTACTTTTAATAAAAATTCAAATAATTGTACTGACATCAGACAAGAAAGGGGAAAAACTTACCATTTGCCTTATAAATTTTAAATTTATTTGAAATTAAATAATATAAATTTCATCAAATATAACATTGAGAACAAATATGAAAATTAAGATTTTCATAAAGTAAATTTATAAATTTGCTGGGAGTGAAAACAAAAATAAAATTGGTATACATGTATATAAATAAGCTTTTATAATTTAACAAATTTTTTATTTAAAATTAAAGATTAAACTCATTTTCAACTAGAAGGAACCGCGTTGCCTTACTTCTACGCTCCTGCTCGAGTCGGAGCATCTTACGCTTACCGCTTAATTACCATCCTATTGTTGCCGATTCCGAGATTTCGCTAAACTGCATAAATTTCCATAAATTACCTCGAAAATTTCAGTAAATTACCGAAATCAAAATTTTTAATTGTCGTTCGCGCTATATATATTTTTGTGAATTACCCCAAAAATTTAGATAAACATTTTGTATCAAATTTCAACTATTTTATAGAATTCAAAAAGCAAAGAATTTTTTTTTAAATTTTTTTAAAAAAATTGAAAAATTATAAATAATTTTTCCGACCCACCATGGATATTTATTTCTTGACACTTTATCTTCAAAAATATGTATTGATATTTATCATTTCGATAAAAAAATATTTTTAAACTTGCAGACATCAAATCGAGCGCTACGCGGAGAATCACCCATAAAGTTATATTTAAATAATCACAAAATTTTATAGCCAAAATGTGAATTTTTGATTTTTTAACTTTCATTAATTCTTTAAATTTAAATTAAAACTATACTTTATATATACCAATCGATTTGTCTTTACGTAACGAATACGATTTTATTATATATAACCTTAAATTTTTCTATTTAAAAAATTTTTGTAAAAAAGACGATAAACTTTTTTTTTGTATTTTTTAAAATCCTTTGGTCAGTTTTGAGATATTAATATGATAAATAAGCCTACCAAATTTTATCTAAATCCATTAAAACCTGTTAAAGTTATCCTCTAAACAAAAAAAGGATCCACACAGATATATAGATAAATAAGTGAATAAAAGCAGCAATAGCGCCTTGCGCCTAGCTATGAAGACGATTTGGGAAGGAACGGCACGCAATTCAAATACAGGGAGAGACGGATCGGGACGCAATTCGAACAAAAATGGATCATACCTGAAAAACCGCACGCAATTCGAAATCACCGCAGTGGGCACACTTTTTCAACAGACGTCCTAAGGATATCTTTTTGTAGACGTCTTTCGAACTTGTGACAAAAGACGTCTTTGAGACGTCTTAAAGAGGACCTAAGAATGTTCTATGTCTTGGCCATTTGATTTCTTTAAGATGTCTTACAGACGTCTTTTTTCAAATTTTGAAAATAGAAAATTTTTTCATAAATATATAATGTTATTTTTTAAGTTAAACGTGAACTTAGAAACTGTTGAAGATTAAAGTTATTGGAATTCTTCTAAGTTAAATTCATTTCATTGAGATGTGACATCGTAAACTTTGTAGAGGTTTATATCTGGCTTTAATGGCTGAGATGCTTAAGGCGCAATGCTTCAAGCCCAAGGTATTCGAGTTCGATCCCAGCTTCATAGACATTTTCTCATTAATTCTGTATAATTTTAAAAATATAAATTTAAATAATAATAATAAATTTAAATTTCCCGGGCATCTTTTGGACCAGACATAGAACCTTTTATGGACGTCTTTTAGTTATCTTTATGATGTCTCCGAGACTTTACTATCATTGTCCCCGGATGTCCGCGGACAAAATGAGACGTCCTTAAGACGTCTCTTTGCCCACAGGTTCCACAATAAGAATAATAATAAACATTTAATATTAATAATACTTTAATATTATTATTAATATTAATAATATTAGTAAAACAAATTGCTTGGTACGTCTTTTAAAAATAATTTAAAGGAATACCTAGAGTTTTTTACGAAAATCTTTTTTTGGCTGATCGATGAATAAGATGTTAAATTACAGGGATTCATTAAATTTTTTCGAAAAATCAATTTTAAACAATTAAGAAAATTGTAACTTTTCCGGTTTCTAAAACAAATTTTATACCTCAAAAATTAATATCGCCTATTAAAATAATAATTTTGGAAACAACAATTATAATACACAAATATATCTTATCTTAAATTTTTTTTGTAGAAAAGGATCAATTTTTAAAAAATATTTAATGATATAATATAATTACATTATATTAATTACTAATAAGTATGAAATAAACTATTATTGCACATTAAAAAAAATTTTCAAAAAAAAATTTGAATAATTATGAAAAAAATTTAAACATTTTAAGTGATACCTATATTTAAAAATATTTTGTCTTTATAATGCGACTCATATCACTTGCCCTTATAGATGCATCACCGGTGACTGCCATGTGTATACGCACCATGCACGCAAAATGCTGTTACCAGTGCGACTCTCATGTGGTGCGAGGAACGTGCGACGCACGATTACTATATATAACTGAGAACTTTTAAGAAAAAATACAAAATGTTTATTAATTATTATTTAACAACAAATTTTAACTCAAAATTAATTTTTTCCAAAATTGTACAATTGGATCTGTCCAATTTGGGTGTAATAAATTTTAAATATATTTTTAGTTCTGTTGAAAACTACTTTTTAGTTTGAGGTTATGTTAATGGGTTGAACCTCCTTAATATTATATTTCTAAATACAATAAAAAATATATTAATTATATTCAATACATTTTTGAAAATAATTTCTTTCAATAAATTTTGTTTTTTTAGATTATATTAGAATAATTTATCATCTTTATTATGTATTATTACAATATTATTCCTTATAATTATACCTATAATTATATTATAGTATAATAATCTTTGTATTCATTCCGTCATTCATTCACATTTTCTTAGTACTTGAATTTTCTCATTATTATTAGATTATATATACATATATATCTTTACTTTGATAATTAGGATTCTCGAAGGTTTCTACCTGAAATTTTTGTTGTCAAAACAGCTTTTGGTTGAGGGTTCATAAGATGGTCGATGACCTTTTAAATACTGTAATGAAAGGGGTCACTGAAACCGTATATGACCATGAAAATTTTTTTTTTTGACGACCCATTTTCCCGCAACCACCCCCTTGCACCTACTCACGTGGGTTGGAGTTTCAAAAAAAAAATCGAGTAGTGTGTCAATTCCAATGTTTTTTGGGTCGCTTAATCCGAAAAATACCACTAAAAACAAATCCTTAACCCCCTACAACCCCTGGGAGGGGGTTGGAATTTCATTGTTCACGAAAAGTCGAGTACGGTGTTTAATCCTATGTTTTTTGGGGCGCTGAAACCGAAAAACGCCACCAAAAACAAGTCATTTCCTCCCTTAACCCCCTACAACCCCCTGAGAAGGGGTTGGAATTTCAATTTTTACAAAAAGTCGAGTACGGTATCTATTCCTATGTTTTTTTGGTCGCTGAAATCAAAAAACACCAACAAAAACACATTCTTTACCCTTTTAACCCCCTACAACCCCTGGAGGGGGTTGGAATTTCATTTTTCACGAAAAGTCGAGTACGGTGTCTAATCTTATGTTTTTTGGGTCGCTGAAACCAAAAAACATCACCAACAATAAAGTTTTCTAGAAAGTTACCTATGATTACAGAAATACGCACCTACAAAGTCTTAAGGAAATTTATTTTTCTACACTTAGCGCCGTGAAAAATGATATTCCAACCCCCTCCCAGGGGTTCTAGCGGGTTAAGGGGGTAAAGAATTTGTTTTTGGTGGTGTTTTTTGATTTCAGCGCCCCAAGAAACGTAGGATTAGACACCGAACTTGACTTTTTGTGAAATTTAAAATTTTAACCCCCTCCCAGAGGGTTGTACGGGGTTAAGGAAAGAAAGGATTTGTTTTCAATGGTGTTTTTGGGATGAAGCGACCCAAAAAACATTGGAATAGACACCATACTCAATTTTTTT